AGCAGAGTTTAAAGTCTCAAAAGAACAATAAAATGGAAACGTTTAGAATTTGGGGGTGGTAAAGCAAGAAGACCTAGATTTAGACAAGCTAAAGAGCAATGAATGCTCTTTTGAAATGACACATTCCCACACCAGCAGAGAATTTGCAAATTCCTTTTATTTTCTGAGTTTAATATTCCCTTCAGGTTTCCCAGCGAAAAAACATGCAAGTGAAAACAAAACAAAATAAAAATCCCAACCCACTATTTCTGCTAGGTTGAAAACTGCCAGCATGATTTATTTTAAAAAAAGATTTGCTTTATTTTTATTTATGTGAATGTGTGTGTGTGGGGGGGGTGGAGGTGGATGGATAGGGGGTGCTGATAGAGACCAGAAGAAGGTGTTGGATTCTCTGGCAACAGAGTTTTAGCTAGTTGGCACCCACTGCCTTATGTGGGTGCTGAGAACTAAACTAAGGTGCTCTGTGCGAGCAGCGAGCACTCTCAATCGAGGAGCTGTCTGTCTAGCTCCTGGAGACTGGCGCTATTTGGATGATTGTGTTTAAACAGCGGAACAGCAGGTGTGGTGGTAGGACTGTTACTCTATCAGCCTGGTGGCCCTAGTTTACTGTTGAACTGCTTGGCTCTGTCCTCGGCATTCTTCCTGGCAAGGAAGCGCTGTAAGAAATGGCTGCGTCTTGAGCTAAGGAGCCAGGTGCTATTCCGGGCTGCAGAATAAACAATTCAGAACCTGACACACTACGAGGCTATGCTGACTTCCTGGGAGCTCCCTTTGTGTGGGTCTGGGAGGGAAGTTACCTTTGCAGGCTATGAAAACTGAATAATAATAAGATAAGCAAGAAGAAACTAGTTGGAATGCCAAAACTAGCTTCAAATCTAGAGTTTCTCAGATCCCTTGCAGCTCAGTATGTGGGGAGTCAAGAGGGGAGAGTAGCTAAGTGGAGTGTTTGCTTACCTTTGACTGGGCATAGAACCCACCAGGCAGAGGCAGGATTGCCTTGGAGTCACTGGCAACAGAAGAAAGAATGTGACAAATGTCTCATGTAGGAAAAATCTCAGATCCTCAGAGATACCTCGTAAAAAAAAACAAAAACAAAAAAACAATTATTTGGAGTTGCACAGGGCAAACCTAAATTCAGAGAACCATGGTGCCAGTAGGGGGAACATTGAAATATACGGAGAACATGGTGCTTATAACTACATGTATGTGTGTATGTCTATGTGTGGAAATATTCATGTGTGAGTGCAGGTGCCCATGGAGTACAGGAAAGGTTGCTGGATCCCTGGGAACTGGTGTTCCAAGCAGCTGTGGGCCACCTGATATGGGTGCTGGGAACCAAACTCTGGTCCCTGTAAGAACAGACCCATCTCTCAAGCTTTTCAATCAGGTGTATTAGACAATGGTGAGGGGCGTCAGTAATCTAAGGAAAAGAAGCCTGACCTCTGAGGGGGTAAGAAAAGTGCGGGATGACGGTGGCCCCGCAGGCAGGATCCCACCTCCAGAAAAAGCTGCTGCTTCGTTTTCACAATGGCAGCCATCTTCCCAGCTCTGACTAGCTAAGGGGATGATGACTCCTGAATCGAAAACTACAGCCACTTCTGGGCACATTCTGTTCTCTCACATGTACACACGTCCGTGGTCAGGACTAGATTTAAACCTGATTAGTGCAGGAACCAGATCAGGTTGGCATGTCACTCTACCAGCCATCACCATTGTTTGACACGGCAAAAATGCTCCAAGGGGGCTTATGATGAAAATTGCGCGCGCGCGCGCGCGTGCGTGTGTGTGTGTGTGTGTGTGTGTGTGTGTGTGTGTGTGTGTGTTAAAGATCTAACAACCCAGCAATCTGAAAACGTGGCTTGCTTTTGTGTATGCACCACACATACATGGCTTGCCTGAGTCTGCCGCTGACTTGCCTGATCTTAATCTGAGGTGCTGTGGGAGTCTACGGGAGTCCAGCTCCGACCTGTGAAGGGTTCTTGGGGGGAGGAGTGAGGAATGAGGAAATGATAGATAGAAAGATAGAAATAGATGATAAGAAAGACAGAGACATGGGATAGCTTAGGGAGGGCCCTGGGTCAATACCCAGTCACCTGGAGGTTTATGTCAAAGGGCTTTTTATACAATGCCAAAGGAGAGGCAAAAGACTCCCGCCCCTTTCAGGATCAAAGCTCAGGGTACAGTCAAATGTAGACCCTTCAAAACACCTGGTAACCACACCTGTGGCCAAATCATCCCATTATTCAGTCCTGCTGGGTAAAGCAAGCCCAGATTCTCTAACCTTGAGTAATTTGGGCCCCTACAAGGTGCTTTCTGACTCCTCTCTCTATGCTGTTCTCTCTGGCAGCTTGGAACAGAGCCCGTGGTTCTCAGTCTGAAGGGCAGTGCCAGGGAGGTGCTGCTCCAGGCGCACAGTGGACAGTCTGAAGACATTGGGGTTGCCATAATTGAGAGTTGGGGGAGACTACAATATAATGCCAGAGGTTGCTTAGTAAATAACCTCCAATGATTGTCATAGACTCGTAGAACAAAGATTACCCTGCTCAGAACGTCAGTAGTGCAGGGGTACCTGGGAAAAGAACAAACTATGAATCTCATGGCTAGTACCAGGAAGGGTGATTCTTGAATCTCACCCTCAGCCACAGGTGCATTGCACAACATGAATAGAACCCAAAATGTTTGCCTTTAACATACATGCCACACTCCTGAGAGTTCCTATGATATGAAAACTCCTATGGTATTAAAAATGCTACTTAGAACGTATGGTGTACTTTCCAACTCACTAATCAATAATGACATGGAATTTGCAACTTATGTGAATGGGAAAATTTTAAGATTTCAGTGTCAAAGGAAGTGCATTTGAATGACAGGTTTTCCACATCATGGTATCTATAGAGATGCCAGTGTCCCTTATAACAGTTGAAAGAGGATTAAAATGAGACACTGCCCATTACTCACTAGGCACTAAATAAACTGGTCATGTTCCTTTCAATATAAAAGTATTGCAGCAACTACTCTTTTCCTAGATTGTGAAATAAAACTCATTATAGACGTGGGACATGGGGTTGTAGTAGAAAAAGAATCCCCTTCTGCAGTGGGGAGAATTAGCCAAAGTGAAGCTGAGCCATGACCTTCTGAGCAAAGCACCATAGGAGCCACAGAGCTAGGGAGGGACTTTGCTCTGGCCCCTTCCCTTGTCAGTGATGTCTGCATTTTAAGGTTTGCCAGGAACCCAGGCCCTCCTCCACTGTAGGGTCAGGCTGCTCTGTTTATGTCCTCAAACTACCCATGGTGTGGTTTGATGCAATGTGGATCAAGAAAGTCTGACAGGGATTGCTAGCAGCCTTGACGAGAAGAGACAGATAGTTCTTCTTTACTATTGTATTATTAACCATAATCCTAAGGTGCATTTAGCTTCTTTTCCATTCTTTTCTTCTTCTTCTTCTTTTTTTTTTCTTTAATACTTAGTGAACCGAGGAGCTGTAACAATGGCGGGAAAGCCCTTATTTCATTATGATGAGGCCCGGGGCCGAATGGAGTCTGTCCGCTGGCTCTTGGCTGCAGCTGGAGTAGAGGTAAGTTTCGAGATGGTCCATCTTCAGATGCACCTAAAACAGACTGTGTCCACTGAGTCCCTCACATCAGTCAGGAGGTGTTTCCTATTGCATGACCTCTAAGGAATTGTGACCTCTGAGGAATTGTGCCCTAGGATTAAGGCATACCTTTAATCCCAAAAGTTGAGGCAGGAGGATCGCAAGTTCAGGGGTAGGCTATGCTATAGAATGTGACACTATTGAATAAAAACAGACTTATACCTTACATTAAGATTATCAGTTTTAAATATATATATATATGTATATAAATATATATATATGTATATGTATATATATATATATATAGCTATGACATAATAAATAGGTGAAATTGTTTTCTTATCACAGCACAGACAGTAACAACTTCAAGGCATTAGTCACAACATGTGCATCACATTTGGATGGAGACTTAGAGTGTGAAGAATAAATAACTCCAACTATATATAAGTTCGCTGAGTTGTATGGTCTTTGTGTCTGGTTAATTTGGGCATGTGATTTTCTTTTATTTATAATTATTTTATAATTTATAATTAATACAAATTAAAATAAGCAAGAAATAGTTCATGACACTTATTTAAGAATTAGAGCTATGTATATTGGATATATGGTAACACTAATGAATTATTACTGTTTTAGATGTGATCATGTCTTGGTGGGAGGTTTCTCCCCTGACAGAGTTCTTACAGTGTAGAGAACACATTGAAATATTTAGAGACAAAATACATGATAGCTGATATTCGGGCTGAGTAAGAGGCAATTTGAGAGGTCACTGCTCAGCACATCCTCAGAGAAGGCCCCCAAGGAACAACAATATATTGTATTGATTACTATTCCATAGCAAAAGAATTAATATATAACATTTTAGCAAATGAAAGTAGAGTGGAAATACAAACCACAGTTGAGAGGCAGTCAGGAGTGGACAGCAACAGGCCGCTTGTTCAGGGTGGGGCGGACACTGTAGACATTATTGTCTTGAGCACAGAGTAAGTGCCAGGTTCTTTTGAGTCCCGAGGATACCCAGGGAGGAAGACAGTTAGTTGGCCCTGCCCTCAGCATCCTACATACACATCTGTGGGAATACAAAGAGGTAAAAAAAAAAAAAAAAAAAAAAAGGTGGCCCACTGTTGTTCCTGAGAGAGTCTTGTTTTATAGCTCACTTACTGTGTAGCTTGGACCGTCCCCAAATTCCAGCAATTTCCCCACACATCACCACATACGGCTTCAAAGAAGAGATTTAAATGAATAGGGAAGCATCTAGAACACTCAAGCATTTCACTAATGTTCAAGAGAAGCTGGTACTTTTCTGTATGACCCTGGTGGGTGCTGCCCTCTAGAGGCATCCTTGGGTAAAATACGTCTCAGTAAGATGCCTGTGATCTGGGAAGGATTTACTTGAGTGGAAATCACAGACTCAGGAGATTTTTGCCCTTGGATAGAAGCTGGGAAGAATGGATAAGGGTTGAGACAGGGTCCTGGGAGGGGACTTGCAGTGCTCTCCCAGCCTCCTGGCGCGGTGTTTACGTGACCCTGAAGGTTGCACTTCACCCTTGCTCCTGACGTGCATGGGGCTTTGACTTCATCCCTCCCAGGTACAAAGAGAGCAGCCCACAGATACTAATGGGCGCCTTTCTTCCTTGTGTTCTTTCAAAACGAAATCTTCTTGCTAGTCATGCAGATGTCCACCTGCGGCTCAGCCTCTGCAGGAATGCGTTCTTAACAGAAGGGTGAAGTAGAAGCAATGAACTCAGTATCAAGGCCTCCTCTTGTCCACCCCAGGGAGACTGAAGAGGGAGCTGAGCACAGGCTATCTCGGACCCTTGCTCAGACCTTCTGGGTCTTCTGTGCCCAAAGACTGATTATGTCAGACCCATCCATCCCACCGTTCTCACCATAACCAACAAACTCACCATCCCTATCCGAGCTTGGTGAGCCTCTTCCGATGACTGCTCATCCATCCCCTTTGTCCCCGTGTGTTTCCTGAATGGATGCTTGGCTAATTGGTGGCATTCAACACCTCACTGTCTGTCATCTAATGCAGTGTGACAGTGTATACGTCTATAATCCAGCATTCCAACCAAGCAGCAAGAGATGAAGATATTCCTGCCCATCACTACTTAGAACTATAGTAAATCACAGTCTATGCAACCAGAGTTAGTACTTATTGTCCAATGTGATGTGGGCAAGGCCTACACTGTGTACTTTGAAAACTCTGCCCAGCTGGGTGCAGTGGCATGTGCTTATGACCCCAGCTACTCAGGAGGTTGAAGGAGGGGGAGAATTTCTTGAGTCTAGCCTGTGCAACATAGTAAGAACTTGTCTCACATTTTTAAAAAATCACTAGATGAATAGAAAACCCTCTCCTTATTACAAATGAGGAAACAAATGCTGTGAGATCTTCAATGATTGTGCTCAGGCCACACAGCTATTTTTTAGTTACAGCCTAGATCATAAATCATATAAGCATCAAAATACAGAAAAAATCATGATTGTTTCTAATGACTTTATTTTTATAGATTCTATCAAGTCAAATATAATTATATATTTGATATATGATATAAATACAAAATGATATAAAAGCTGATTTGAGGTTTTTATTTTCTGTGTATGGATGTTTTGCTTGCATGTATGTTTGAAACACAAACATGGCTGTTGCCAGAAGAGGCCAGATCAGATGCCATGATCTGAGGCCAGAAGAGGGTATCAGATTCCCTGGAAGTAGAGTTATAGATGATTGT